TAAAAACTACTTGTCATCCTTTCCCTTCTACATTTTTCTCACCATACACCTCAGAGTAGCAAAGTCAGGCCCAGCCTAGAGCCTCGGGGCCTGACTTCCCTCAGCACCTCCCACAGCAACCAGCTTAACTCCTATTTCCTTTGTTTTGTGTCTCTGCCATTGAATGATCAGTCTCTTGTCCCTAAATCCTTAGATATTTCTATGGAGAGTGTCATCTGCAAGTGAGTTTAACCAGGACCATCCGACCAGGGTGGGGGTGTTTTATATGGTAGATGTTTTACATCAAGACTTTTTTAATTGTGGTAAAATATATCAAACATAAAATGTACCCTTTTAACCAAATTAAGTGAAATTAACTATATTCACAATGTTATGTAACCATCGCCACTACTTTTTCCAAAAAATTTTCACCGCCCCAAACAGAAACTCTGTATCCATTAAACAATAATTCCCCATCCCTCCTGCCCCCGGACCCTGATAACCTCTAATCTATGTTCTGTCCTTAGGAAGTTACCTAGTTTTGATATTTCATGTAAATAGAATCATACAGCATATGTCATCATGTGTCTGGCTTATGTCACTTAGCATATTGTCTCCAAGGTCCACCCATGTCGCAGCATCTGTCAGGGCTTCCCTCCTTTTCACCACAGATGAACCTTCTGTGGACCGTATTTGCCATATTGATGGGCACTTGGGTTGTTGCACATCTTACTTACTGTGAAGAACAATGCAGAGAACGTTCCCATGCAAGTATCTCTTTGCATCCCTGCCTTCAATTCTTTGAGTATATATCTAGGAGTAAAATTTCTGTCTCTTTCCTTCTTTCTTTTTTCTTTGAACAAAGCCTCACTGTTGCCCCAGGCTAGAGTTCCGTGATGTCACCCTAATTTACAGCAACTTTGAACTCCCGGGTTCCAGCGATCCTCCTGTCTCAGCCTCCTGAGTAGCTGGGACTATAGGTACCCACCACAACACCCGGTTAATTTTCTCTGTTTAGTAGAGACGGGGTCTTGCTCTTGCTCAGGTTGATCTCAAAATCCTGAGCTCAAGGGATCCTCCTGCCTCAGTGTCTCAAAGTGCTCGGATTACAGGAGTAAGCCACCGCGCCTAGCCAGAATTGCTGCTTCGCTTTTGTTGGTGGATTTTCATCAGTAAAAAAATACATCCTGTCAACTGATGCTTACTCCCCAAATCAAACCGATACATCTAGGTTCTACTACCCATAACAATGTCAGAAACTCATCTAGACTTGTTTCCATGGAGTCTGACCAGCATTTCTTCATAGGATTCGACACAGAAGCGCTTTTGCTCATCTGTCAAAGTGTGAGGCATCCATCAGGATGAAACTTTCCTGACTTGAAGATAATCATACAGGATTTTGGACACTGGTGGTGATCCAATATATAGTGCCACTTCAATGTCCTTCGATATCACTCGATTGTTTTTACAAACCATTTTTTTCCCACAGCAGCAATGTTCTTCTCAGTCACTGGGGCTGCCAGACACCTGCTCCTCTCCTCATCTTTCAGTAAAGTTTGGCCGCTTCTAAATTCTTGAAACCACTGAAATATTATCTCACAGGAAGGAATAAGGTCCCCGAAAGCCTGTTGTAAACGCACAAGGCTTTGAGACTCGCTTAGCCCACTTTTAAAATCATAGAAAATCATTGCACAAAAGTGCTCTCTTCCCAGAACCACAGCTGACACCAACTGAGTGCTGCGCAGACAGAAACCAATGAAGCCCTCCCAGCAACACCGCTAAGACGGGCAAGTTGAAACTTGCACAGGGGAATCAAAAAGAACGCTGCTGCTGGCTATATTTGTTGGAAGTGAAATAATGAACCATTCTCAAAACGTTCGCAGTGGCCTTCTTATCTCATCAGCTCCTCTTTGTTCCCACAAGAAAACAGGCCCTGAGACCCAAGAAGGAACTTCTGAGACCTCCGGTCCTGCGAAGACAGCGGCTGTCCGGTCCCTCGCCTAGGACCCTATGTTTATGTGTAGCTTTTTCAAGAACAGCCAAAGCGTTCCCCATATTGGATGCTCTATTTTATATTCTCATCAGCTATGTATGAAGATTTGAAATTCTCCACAAAATGCCAATATTTGTCACGTAACATTTTAAGAGAATGAGAGCCATAATTGTAGGTGGGATGTGGCATCTCAATGTGATTTTGTTCGCATTTCTCTAATGATTAATGACGTTGAGGGTCTTTTCATGTGCTTCTCCACTGTTTGCTTCTCTTCTTTGGAGAAATGTCTATTTCAGCCCTTTGCCCATTTTTGAATTGGGTTGTTAGTCTTTTCGTTGTTGAATTGCAGCAGTTCTCTGTATATTCTAAACATGAATGCTTTATGATGTCTATGATTTGCGAATTTTTTCTCCCATTCTGTGGGTGCTCTTCTCTCTTTCTTGATAATGTCCTCTGATGTTTAAAGGGCTTTCATCCTGATAGAGCCAATTTACCTGTTTTTGCTTTTGTTGATCATGCTTCTGTGCATAGCTAAGAATCCATTGCCACATCTGAGGTCATGAAGATTGACCCTTGTGTTTTTTCTCCGAGAGTTTTTATGGCTTCAGCTCATATTTAACTCACTGATCTGTTTTGAGTTAATTTTTGAAGATGGTGAGAAGTAGAGTTCCCAAACGTCATTCTTTTGCAAGTGGTTGTCCAGATGTTGCAGGACCATTTACTTGAAAAGATTATTCTCCCCTCATTAAATTATCTTGGTACCTGTTTAGGGTTCTCCAGAGAGACAGAAACAATAAGATAAAAATATAATCGCACATATAGAAATAGGTATAGATAGGAGAGGGGATTTATTAGGGGAATCTGTTTATGTAAATACGGAGGGAAGAAGACCCAGGGTAAGCTGGCTGCAGGCTGAAGAACTGGGGAGAAGCCTGGCTCAGTTCAAGTCCCAAAAACTCAGAAGCAAGGAAGGCGGAGGTGTGACTCTCAGTCCAAGGCCGAAGGCCTGAGAATCTGGAGTTCTAATATCCAAAGGCAGGAGAAGAAAAGTGTCCCAGCTCTCGAATAGACAAACAGAGAGAATTCATTTTCCTTCTGCCTTTTACTCTATCCAGGCCCTCAGCTAAGTGGACGTTACCTCGCACAACCCTGCACATTGGATGGAGTCTGGCTGCCTGGAGACCCGCAGTGAACAGGACCCAGGCTGACCTATCCCTGCACTCTGACCCAGGGCTCAGCGCCTGCCTCTGCCCAGGAATCAGGGCAAGCTCAAACCCCCTGGAGCCTGGTCAGCCTCCTTGGGGCCACCCTGACATTGGCGGCAGATCTCCTTGTTCCCTCCATTGGGAGACATTGGGACATAGACAACTCTAAGGAAATTAAATCCCCCAGGGGAACCTGGCTGTGGCTGAGGAGGTAGAGATGCAGCCTGATTTCCATCCCTTGTTCCAACAGACCCTTCTGGACCCTCCCACATGGCTGCTGTGTCCTGATCCTTCCGCAGGCCTCTGAGGGCCCTGCTCAGCTAAAGATCCTCATGCAGTTCCCCACTCCTTACTGGTACCCCACATGGGGAAAGTCGGGTGGCCACAGGAGGGTCAGCCAGGCAAAGGGCAGAGGCCACCAGGACAGGCAGAAAGAACATTATGGGCCCTGAGCCACACTTCAGCCACCAGATATGGAGAGGAAGCATCTCCCTGAAGCCTTCCCCTGAGGGTAGCAGAGTCCAAAGCCCCTGACCTCTCTGCACCACAGTCCTCTCTTCCCAAGGCACAGGACACTGCTCCTCCACACCCAGGGGCTGCAGCTCCTCCTGAGACCCCAGGGCCTGGGTCTTTGTCCCTGGGTCAGAGGTCAGGCTGGTGACTCTGGAGGTACAGGGTGGGTTCCCCTACTCATCACTCAGCTGCCCCTTCAGGACTCCGGAACTGACCCTGTCACCCGCCTGCTGGGTATCACTCTCCTCCCCAGGACACTGGAGAACAGAGGAAATTCCAGGGCCCAATTGAGCTTCTGTGCAATAAATAGAAATAATCACACACAGGGGCTCTCTGTGTAATGGTGAAAGACCCAGGTCCAGGAAACAACAGAGGTCAGCCCTGGGGAGGCCAGGGCATCCTGTTATAGGAAAGAGGATCCCATCACCCTTGCTTCTTAAAGCATGGCCTAGAAAGGCAAATGCAGACAGAAAAGAAAGAGGATGGAGGAACCAGGAGAGGGGAGGGGAAGGGAGGTGTCCTAGGCACAGACCCCACCCCTTATACACATGACCAGATGTGGACAAAGCTCTGGGCCCAAGGAGGAGGTTCACCACAGCAGAAAGAAGGACAGAGCTGACCCATCAGAGCAGCTGTGCTGAGGACCATTCCTGGAGCTGAAGCCTCCTCTTTTGCACAGAGGAGAACAGAGCAAGTAGCAAGGACCATGGAGCCTTCCTCAGTCCCTCCCTGCAGAGGACTCATCCCCTGGCAGGGGCTCCTGCTCACAGGTGAGAGGGATGATGCCCTGGGGGCGGGCAGGAGAAGGGAGCACAGACACGGGCTGGGGTCTCGTGGGGAGGACGAGACTCTGAGAGGGACAGGGGCTTCTGTTGCAGCTTAAAGAGGGTGGAGGGGGGCTCAGCAACAAAAGTCCTCACCGAACAAGAGTTGTTAAGGGGCAGGAAGATCTTGGGTATTCTGTGCTCTAAGTTAATCATCACTGCTCACTACATATTTAGAAATGATAAGAATAATAACCAGGCTGGGCACAGTGGCTCACACCTGTGATCCTAGCACTCTGGGAGAACATAGTAGGATTCCCTAAGCAAGGGAGAGACCCTCCATAAAAAATTTAAAAATTAGCCAGGCATGGTGGCATGTGCCTATAGTCAGTCCCAGCTACTCCAAAAGCTGACACAGGAGGATCACTTGAGCACAGGAGTTTACCATTGTTGAGTTACAAAGACATCTCTGTGCTCTACCTGGGGCTCAGAGTGAGACATTGTCTCCAAAAAAAGAAGGGAAAAATGAATAATAACCAAATCAGGGTGACACTCTAAAGGAAAGCATAACCAGGGGCACTAAACATCATCCTTACCCACCAGCATCACAAATTACCTTTATGTTTTTGGCAAATAAACACCAGGACATGCAGGGCCCTAGGAATACTCACTAAGGCACCCACAGGTGTCTGCAGCCTGTCCCAGGCTCTGGGGACAACACAGGCCAGACAAGTCCCTGTCCTCACAGAGCTCACGTTCTAGTGGGAGGAGGACAGATGAGCAGAGAGATCTCAAATGTGAGGTTGGCTGTGGACAAGTGCCAGGGAGGGAGCAGGCAGGGAAAGTTCACAGGGGAAGACCCAGGGTCTCTAGAGGACGTGGCCAGGGAAGGAGCAAGCATATCCCTGAATGTGAGCAGGGGTCTGAGGGCAGTGGGAGGTGAGCTGTGCAGACACCTGGGAAGAAGATTCCAAACAGGGACCTGACCAGTCCAGAGGCGCTAAAGTGATGGGGTCATGCTGCTGACCTTGACCCAGAGGACACACACACACTCTCACACACTCACACTCAACCTTACCTAAGGTTGATGGTAAAGACACCTGCTCAGGACCGAGCGCCCCATTTTCCATCCCAATAAAGGTTTCTAATAAGGATCGATTCTCTCTCCTCCCTCCTAGTCTCACTTCTCACCTCCTGGAACCCGCCCACCACTGCCCAGCTCACTGTTGAATCCGTGCCGCCCAGTGCTGCAGAGGGGACGGATGTCCTTCTACTCGTCCACAATCAGCCACTGGATTCTTATGGCTACATCTGGGCCAAAGGGGACAGAGTGGCCCATAGCCATCTAATCCTATCATATGTAGTAGCAAATCAAACAAGTACCCCAGGGCCTGCATACAACGGTCGAGAGACAATATACCCCAACGGGTCCCTGCTGTTGCGGAAGGTCACCCTGAAGGACTCAGGATACTACACCATGCAAGTCTTCTGGCAAAATCTTTGGAGTGATGAAGCAACTGGAGTGTTACACGTGTACTGTGAGTGACTCTGTGACCTCTGGGTGCTGGGGGGTTGGTTCTACTTCACACACACCAGGTGTTAGGCCTGGGTGACTCCTGCCTCCCCCTCTACGTCCCATCCCATGTTGGGGTTTGGGTATCAAGTGCAGGACACACACTGTGGGACAGACTTCAGAGATCAGAATCCTTTCCTGCATCCAGACCCTGCAGACATTCCCTGGGGAAGGACCAGTCTGAGGGGACAACTCAGCAGGGGGACTTCAGTCTCAGACCAGCACCCCAGGTCCTCCCCATGGACATGATCCGGGGCCCCCTGAGGGCATGGTGTGAGGGGGGCCCTGGGATCCTCACAGAGAAGTTCAGGTATGGAGGTCCTCAGTCCAAGTGGCAGTGGGGAGCTCGTGGTCTGGGCTGCACTTTGGCGGCCTAGGCAGGGCTCATGGGTACAACAATTTACCAGCTGTCTGAGGACCGAGGCTTCTGGGGCTAATCACCAGCCAGGGCTGGACCCCACAGCCTGGACAATTACAATGCCCAGTTAGTGACCTGAGGCTCAGTGTGGGTAGCACAGACCGACAGTCTCCTAAGGCCATCAGCACAGTGCACTGGGGACCTAAGAGACTTCAGGGAAGGAACAGAGGAGAGAGGAAGCTCCTGGAGGTGGCTGTCCACAGGGTTTAGTCCCAGAAGCTCCTTCATGGGCTCCAGCAATAATCGATACGGTTTATTTGGGCAGCTCCTCTACACAAAGCTTTAGGTCAGGTAATTGAGAACATCTAAGGTTAAGTCACAGTCACGATAAGCCAGAGACAATTAATGATTTATCCTATTTTACCCAGGGGAAACGGAGGCACAGGGCTATACAGTCATTGGACTGGGTCACACAGAACATGACTGGAAGATCAGAGCCCCGGGAGGCCTGTCTGCAGCCACAGCCTCAACCTCTCCGCAACGCCGGGCCCTTACTAGGCATCCGGGGCCCCAGTGCCAGTCCTTGG